TCCGAGTTGCGTCAGTGCAGCCGTTGTGCATTGCAACAGCATGTTAAGTGTGTAAGCCGATTCGATAAGAAAAAAGAAGACGACTCAGACTATCTATGTCCTAGTTGCTGGTATAGCGCGACAAAAGAAGCTCCATTGCCAGCTGCTACCACATTCATAGTGACGCCACGCAATATTAAACCACAATGGCTATACGAAATACAAAAACATCTCGGACCAAGTCTCAAAGTGTTCGATTACAATGAATTGGCGTTGGACAATTGGATAAGTCCGGTGCAATTGGCCAGCTATGATATAGTACTTACCGAGTATTCTGTGTTGCGACGAGAGGTTTATCATACCAGCGCTTATTTGTCTGAGCGTGTTACACGAAATGAGCAGCGTTCAATGCGTCGTATGTCGCCTTTGCTGATGGTGGAGTGGTGGCGTGTGTGCCTCGATGAAGCGCAAATGGTCGAGTCGAATTCATCTGTACTCACTGCCTTGGTGCGTCAGTTACCAGGTAATTCAAAATTGGACTGAAGGAAATATGTACATATTTTATCTATTAATTTTCTCTTTCGTAGCAATAAATCGTTGGGCCATCACTGGCACGCCAATACAGCGTATCATTGATGACTTACGTGGTTTATTGGAATTCATTGGCTTTAGAGAGCCATTAGTCCCTATAAATTGGAACGGTTTGGTAGATGACTTTGTATTGCAACAAAATAACGCAGATAAGTGTGAGCACCATCAGTTGACACTTGTTGATGTGTTACAATGTTGCATGTGGCGCAGCTGCAAGTCGAAAGTATACAAGGAGTTGCAACTACCACCACAAACAGAGCAAGTGCATCGCTTACGTTTAAGTAATTTAGAGAAATTATTCTATTCCGAACAACATGCGCTTTGCGAAAGCAGCTTTAATAATATACTGCAAAAGTATTTGGGGCGCACTGATGAGATGCTGAAGATATCACCACGGATCATGAACATTGTAAGAAAGTTAATTTATATGTTGTAGATTTTTTTTACGTAATAAATCTTTACAATTCTTTAGATCTTACAACCTTTATTGAAGATACGCCAGTGTTGTATAACACCAGTTGTAAATACTAGCAACAAGGGTCCATATAAAAACTCGGCAAATGTGCAACAGAAACAATTTTTGCAGCCGAAGGATTTACTTGCGCATCTTAAATCCACTAATGAGCTTGAATGTAAATCTGAACTGCGCTCCGTGGCATCCTCTTATAATGGTATGTATTAGTTTAAAACAAATTAAAGAAATGTTTAGTAATTTAATGCCTTTTATAATGATTAGGCATGGCAGCCATTTATTTTATACAGGGCAATTTTGAGCAGGCAATTAAACATTACGAAATGGTTCTTCGTTTGGCGCGAGAATATAAGGATATCAATATAACGTAATAGAAAACATATTAACTTCTACTTAGCATTTCCAATAATTTTAATTTGCCACACATAAATATCCTTCCCATGCAGTGTTGACAGTTTGTTACAAATTCACGCACTCTACAATATACAGCAGGCATTCTATATTGCGCCGCCAAAGACCATTCAAATGTCGGCCGATTTGATTTCAAAATATGAGGAGGAATGTAATGCTTTGGAATGGAAATATCTTGAACCTTACGTCTGCTCAATGCACGCTAAGCGAACTTCATGTTCCAATGCCCTGGAAATGCTTGCAAGACTAGAACTAAGCGCGGAATCTCCACTGTTAGAGTTTATCAGCCTACTTGTAGATGAAACTGCCTCGCAATCTCAGGAGTTCGTAATTACATTATTGAATCGTTTTCATGACGAATTTGCCACCTCATTTGGCGGCTCTTCAAAAATGGAGCAGTTAAAAAGTTTATCGGGTATGCTTTATGTGCTGGTTACGTGGTATAAGAAAGTGGATGCTGCACAAAAGCATTTGAATGTTGAATTTGAAAATTTAAAATTTTACACAATGAACGTCTATACGCGCGCCAAGAATACGCCTGCCATTTGGCGTGAAATGTATAAATTTATACGCATTGTCTACGAATGTCACCTCAGTGAAATCCTGGTTAGTATAGAAGGGAATAATAATACATTTTTTTAATCAATTACTGTTTGCATTGAGGAAGACAAAAAGGAAAAAAAAAGTCGAAAAGAAAGTCGAAAAACTCGAAAAAGGATTTATGCAAACTTTGTCAAATACGAAATGCACTGAACAAATATGAATGTTTACTATTTAACAAGGTCATTGATGAAGATACTAATATGACCGAGGGTTTGCGAAATCACTCGTTCGAAATAGGGCTGATTAAGGGTATGTGTTGGCCAAAGAAATAATAAAAAATTTAATATTTAATTTTTATTAAAATTTATAGTTTTGTTTGCCTACTTGCGTACCAAACCTGCCTTTCTGAGCCACACGGAGCAAATGGAAAAACATTGGGAAAGCATTGAATGCCGCCAACAGCTATGTAAGAAGCTAATAAAATATTGGATCGAAATTGAGTACACTGTAAAGGTCTATGATGAACTAGATATGTGTAAAATGCGAATATCTTTGGCGGAAAACGATGAGGACAAGACACATTTCAAACTTCTGGATTATGAAGTATTTTAACTTTAGTTATCTTTTTTTATTGTTTATCAGTTAAACTCAAATTAAACTGCAGTTGGATAACACCTTTATGGAGCAGCAAATTAATCTACACGAGGCTCAGCGACGATTCGCCATGAAACTAGCGCGCCTCAAGTATATAACTCATTTAGAGGCGGATGCTGCGCCTGGACCATGTCCAATTTGTCAATCTGAAGATGAGAGTCGTGTATGTTGGAATGCAAAAATGTAATACGTTCCTTCATTATATGATTTTATATTTAAAATTTCTAGTATGCCGTATTAGAGTGTGGACATCATTTATGTCTCCTATGTTTGCGCACCATACAGCCAGGGAACTCATCTAACAAGTTATGCTGTCCGATTTGCCGAAATCGACAGAATTCAAAAAAGTAAATTTATTTTCATTTACAATTCCTACTTTTTATTTACATTTGTATTTCTTCTATTTAACTAGATTTTATTACGTTACATGCAATGCCACAACGCCCACTGAAATTCCTATTCAAGTAGTAGGCGACTTCTCATCCAAAATCACCTATATCGTGCGTTTGATCTTGCAGCTTAAGCGTGATCACGCTAAGGACATGCAGCAACTGAAGATTTTAGTATTTTCTAAATGGTCTGAAATTTTACCAACTATTGCAAATGCTTTGAAGCAGAATGGGATTCGACATCGAATCAATTATACGCCACGCGCCATCGAGGAATTTAAGGTACGTACGCACCAGTCATTGTATTTGCTATATAATATTAAAAGTGTTTCCATAGAATCCCCTGTTAGGTGTCACTTGCTTGCTGATGGCTTTGCGTAAAGGCTGTAACGGTTTAAATCTGATAGAAGCGACTCACGTCTTTCTTGTTGAACCAATTCTTAATCCCGGCGAAGAAGCGCAGGCAATTGGACGCGTACATCGTTTTGGCCAGACAAGGNGTTGAACCAATTCTTAATCCCGGCGAAGAAGCGCAGGCAATTGGACGCGTGCATCGTTTTGGCCAGACAAGGTTTTTTTTTTGGTAGTTTTAAACATATTTTGTATAAAAACTAACTATTCTGATCTGCTTTAGACCCACTACCGTCCACCGCTTTATTGTTTGCAATACGATTGAAGAGAATATTTTCAATGTCGTAAATACCGGAAAACAGTCGCAAACGAATTGGGAATTTAAGCAAATATCAGTCGAAAGTTTGCAAAATTTATTTCACTTGGAGAATGATGTCAGTGAGGAATACATATCTAACTCCGATGAACCAGTGGATGTGACATAAAGGCAAACAATCCGGATTTCGTGGTACTATTCAGTCAAAAATTAAATATTTGGTGAATGAACGCTATTTAAGTTTATATAATCGATCCAAGGCCAGCAACTTGTATAAGAAAACAATGTGTTGTTTCAAAAATATACATCTACGTTAAAATACATACACATTAACGTTAGGCAGCGATATATCGAAACACAATGTACGTTTTGCCTTAAAAAGTATTAATGTGGCTTTGAATTCCTATAACGCGAAGAAAACCAATCTGAATGGTAACAAATTTCACATGAA